AAATATCTGATATCCTGCAGTAAATTTCATAAATATTTTTATATTCTCAAATCATTAAATATCTTATGAGTACGATGAATTTTTCATGAAAAAGATGAATATTTAATCAAAACATACAGAACATTTCGAGGGTTATTTAAAAATTCACTGAACATGAATAAACCCAGAAGGCATAAAAGTACTTCCTCCTTGCTGATGAACTCTCTTCGTTAATCACAGTCCCTCCCTCACACACACACACACACACACACACACACACACACATACACACACACATGGTTGTGAGATCATAGCTAGTAATTTATGGGAGATGATTATCGACAGAAGCGTTGAGGCAGAGAACATAAATCTGCACACAGAGCTCCCAGGGACAGATTTGTAACAGCTGAACAAGTTTTGATAGCGAGCGATGACAGATAAAACTGAGCAGCCTCAGAATCAGGGTTTTAAATCCAAAGCTTGTTTTCTGCTCACAGATCTGTCCTGAGAGCCCTTAAACTATAACTGTTTCGCTCACTAATGGCATTACAATGGTTATTTAAAACATTCACACATCTGCTTTTTCCTCAGAAAGCTGTTTGAGAGTGATGTTTTGTTTTGTCTTATATTTTTTATTTCAATTAACCTTTATTAAACCAAGAAATCCTTGGAGATGGATTTTTTTCCTGAGGTAGACCTTGTTTTCAAAGAAATGCCTGCAGAATTTAACCCTGAGTCTCTTTTCCACCCGCAAAGTCAGTGTTGAATAATCTACTAGTAAGTGTGCCACAGGAGTATACAGATTTTCAGTTATTCATATTAGAGTAGCCCAGGCTCTTATTTGCTTAAATCACTGAAGGTGTAGATTTGGGACAGGCCTTTAATTTCTTTCACACAAAACTGTTGTTCGAGCCCAGTCTCACTCCAAAGTTGTCGATATCCAGTGCTTGGGCAGGGACTTGCAGTGTCAGAAATGAACGAAAAAAAGCATCCATTAATGTCAGAAAGATACACGGCTGGTTGCCGTCATAGTTTAACGGCGCCCGGCAGTGTCGGGGGGAAATACAGTGGGACAAGGACAAAAGTTTAGGCAGCTAAAGTGGGAGGGGTGGTGGATGGGTCCACCAAACACGGACTTTCACCCGAGAGAGCTGTGTTTGTGTCCCGTAAGATTCTAAAGCCAAACCCTGGTATTTTTTCCTGAATCTAACCATGTGTTAGTTGATGAAGGAAAAAAAAAAGTGAACTCACGTTATTGTACTGACGTAGTGCTTTTATTTTGAAAGAGACTGTATGTACATGTTAAATTTCCTGTGAAAGCTGAAGTGTATCTTGAAAGAAGACAACGCATGTAACAGGCAGAACTTGGCACGGTGTCCCAGAACATCAACAACCAAATGTGTTTTATACATCCAAAGAACGTCTATTGAAATGAACGTCTTGGCAACCAGAACAGGCGCTTATTTGATACAGGCATTTATTTGTCAAAATGTGTGGCCACACCGGGCCAGTAAAAGGGACTGGGCTTTTAACTGAAGCTTTATGGTAATCTGTGAATAATCTGACAAAACTGTAAAAAATAAAATAGAAACAAATAAATTCTTAATGAAATTTGCAATTAAATGATGCATCAAAAACCTTATATTTTTTCAGTCATATGTGAATGTGTTGAATGAGTTGCTGTTACTTAATGGTGATATTATGCATTTCGCCTCCACTCCCTGATGATGCCTCGATGTATCAGAGATGTTGGAGGGAGCTTGTGTTGACATTAATGAATTATTCAGCATTACAGAACAAAACTATTGAGGCACAATGAGACATCCACAAGAAGATGAAGGAGGAGAGAGTGTAGTTACAGAGACAAAGAAATCAACATGCACACCAACAGTACATGATTTATGACTTATTTGGGGAAAAAAATCCTCCATACATCACAGACATGAGCCTGTAACATTTAATCTAGAGACATACCTAATTTAATCCAGATAAGTATCTCCTGACATTACCTCAAGATCCCTGGTGGAATGTGTGAGACCTTTTTCGACAGGAACAATGTCAAAACAAGACCTTGAAGGTCTCACCCATCACCTGTCACTCAGAGAATTGATTTCAAAATCTTGCTCCTTGTGTATAAATCACTCTGTGACTCAGCGCCCAAATATATCTCTGACATGCTTGGCACATATGAACCTTCAGGACCCTGAGGATATTAGGGGTCGGCCTACTGACCGTCCCAAGAGTCAGAACAAAACATGGTGAAGCAGCGTTTTGTTATCATGCAGCACAAACCTGGAATAACCTCCCAGATGATGTTAGACAGCCCCGACTCTGAACATGTTTAAGTCAAAGCTAAAATAATTTTTACACTGCCTACTCCACCTGTGATGACTGTAAAATTATTTTAAACTGAATTTTAAATTATTTTAAATATTATCTTTATTTTTGCATCTCTTTTCTGCACTTTTGCTGTTTTTAATGATGATTTTTTTTTAAATGTTAAATAATTTAGTGATTAATTTTGCCTTTTATATTTTTGTTTGTCTTCACTCTTTTCAGTATCCTTTATTATGTTTTATATTTTATTGCTCAGTAAAGCACTTTGAATTGCCCTTGTGTATGAAATGTACTATACAAATAAAGCTGCCTTGCCTTTGTGTAGGCTTTATTTTTTATTTTATTATTTTTATCTATTTTTTGTCTGTTTTTGACTGGGTGTGGCTGACTATTAATGATCAATACTATTTTTTTGACTGCTTAAATTAATAATTAAATAATAAAAATTATTTAAGATACACAGATGACTTTTTTTTTTACTATGTCATGAATGAATATAGTTAATAATTACAAATAAGTGTGCCAGTGTGTTTAATAAGTCTGTAGGTGAGATAACTGTAACAATCATTAACTTTGTTTGAATGCTGTCTCTCTGTGACTAAAAGTTTTGGAAAATAAAAATATTATAAATCATAAAAAATATTACAAAAATATTCCAGATTCATGAAAAGATTCATGAATCATTTTTTATCTTTTCATGATTCATGAAAAGATAAAAAAAAACAGTAATGTGATTGTGATTCCTCCTCAGCTCAACAGTTTTGATAGACGTCTGTCATGACCACAGATGGCCAGTAGAGGTCTCCCCTGTAAACACAGTGGAACACTGATTGACCTCCACATCATCATTGATAAAAATAATTCTAAAAAATGTACCGTACTCTTGCATTCAGCACCTCATTGTGTAAAATATATTTCAATACTAAAGCCTTTAGTGGGACATATTAAAGTCATTATGTAAGAGAAGAGATGTTTGGTGTTTATTGGTCTATAAGGGTTTGTTAGAATGTGAGGCATTGGCTCACAGGGTGAAAAGGTCATTTCTCATGTCACTGTGAGCTCAGCTGTTAACGTGGGACAGTTTAAGGCTCTGAGTGAAGCAGGATTTAAAGCAGAGTTTATGTGGTTTGGACAAAACTCATCATGTCTCCATGTCAGCTGTGAATTCTGATGTAACTGTTGGAGAAATACTTAGGAAGGAATATGAGCCACATTTTCCCTGTTTGGTCAGCAGGTGTCAGTGACTTAATGTCCTGGAGCAATGAGACATTAACAGTTTAAACATACAGGCCTGGTTGGTTGTTTTTTAAGTAGGAGCAACAATCACACAGTGGCTGCATTTTAGTGACTCTCTACTGATCAAGAATTCAAACTCTAATGCTGACATGAGCTGTGAATGTGGACGAACCTGCAGTAAGACAAAACAACAGTGAAATATATAGAGTTAAAAGTTTTGGTTGTGGGGCTTTAACACCATCCAGGCTTTTGGGTCAGTGCTTTCAATTTCTATAATAAGAAAGAAGAATAAAATTTTAAAAATGTAGAAATTATAAAAACAAAATAACACTTCAACATTTAGGAGACATAGTCAATTTACAGGTCAGAATTATGAGATAGCAAGTGAATATTTTTATCTCATAACTGTGACTTTATCATTCTTCCTTTCCTGACCTTTCCTTTCCCTTTCTTTTTCTTTCCTTTCCTTGCCTTTCTTTCCTTTCCTTTAGTGTTCTTTCCTTTTCTTTACCGTCCTTTCCTTCCCTCCCCTGCCCTTCCCTTACCTCCCCTGCCCTTCCCTTTCCTTCCCTCCCCTTTCCTTACCTCCTCTTTCTTTTCCTGTCCTTTAATTCCCTTCCTTTCCTTTTCTTTCCTGTCCTTTCCTCGCCTTCCCTTTCCCTTCCTTACCTTTCCTTCCCTTTCCTTTCCTTTCCCTTCCTTCCCTCCCATTTCCTTTCCTTTCCTGACCTTCCCTTCACTATCCTTTCCTTTCCTCTCCTTTCCTTCCCTTACCTTCACCACCCTTTCCTTCCCTTTCCTTTCCTTTCCTTTCCTGACCTTCCCTTTCCTATCCTTTCTTTTTCTTTCCTTTCCTGACCTTCCCTTCCCTATCCTTTCCTTTCCTCTCCTTTCCTTCCCTTACCTTCACCACCCTTTCCTTCCCTTTCCTTTCCTTTCCTTTCCCTTCCTTACCTTTCCTTCCCCTTCCTTTCCTCCCCTTTGTCCTTTCCTTTCCTTTCCTTTTCCTTTCCACCCCTTTCCTTTCCTTTCCTTTCATTTCCTGACCTTCCCTTCCCTTTCTTTTCCACTCCTTTCCTTTCCTTCCCCGTTCTTTCATTTCCCTTCCTTCCCTTCCCTATCCTTTCCTTTCATTTCCTTTCCTCCCCTTTGTCCTTTCCTTTCCTTTCCTTTCCTTTCCTTTCCTGACCTTCCCTTCCCTTTCTTTTCCTTTCATTTCCTTTCCTTTCCTTTCCTTTCCTGTCCTTTCCTTTCTCAAAAGAACCTCTCCTCACTGTACGAGTACCTTTGGTTAAACTCAGAGTCCAACACATGAGTGTGAGCTCAGCCCATCAGAGGATGTCCTCCATGTCACACAGTGACTCCTCTAATGTCTCTCCTCCCTGACATCCTTGAGGACACAGAGTGCACGGCAGCACAGAGAGCAGCCTCCCTCAGGGACGCAGGGACAGAAGCCACAGCCTGTCATGTCTCCTCCCGGACACGGACATGTCCACCAGGAATAAGATCAACTTCACCTTTAATGTGCTGGTGTGGAGGATTGTGGGAGTGGATTGGCCCACACGTGATTAAAATCCGGCGGAGTGCTGCTGGTGTGTCGGTGAGGAGGGAGACGAAGATGGAGAGCGTGTCTGTCAGGTAGGAGCGTGAAGGCTGGGTTGGAAACTCGCTGGTTTTGGGAGGAAAATGACGGAAATGTGTGAGTTTGGGAGATTTAGTCGGAATCAAAGTGACAAAGTATTTTGGGCGGCACTTTGTGTTGTTGTTTACAATGGCGCCGATCACTGAGGCTGATTAATGAGGTCAGATAAAACACAGTAACGCGTATGTTAGGGTTTAATCAGCTGTCTGTCTGTAATAATGATGACATGTTGGTGTAAGGTTGGAGGCAGACAGGTGGAGGAGGGCAGACAGGCTGCAGAGGATCACCTGTGGAGCGACACTAATGTGGCTGTACTGAGGAGCTGATTGGCTGAGGGATTTACACTGAAAGCAACCAGTGGTGGGATAATTAAAATCATGTTTAGTATAAAACTTGAGATAGAGGTGAAAATAGTTAAAATCGGTTTGCTCCTTAAAGGATAACTTCATAATTTTTCAACATGGACCCTGTTTACCCGTGTCAATTGATCAATGAGACTGATGTGGACCATAATATTTGCAATTGGTCCAGTATTAAAGGAGCTGGCAGTGGCTGAGCACAGCGGAATCAGCTGCAATGGAAGCAAATGGGGCAACTGAACATCGTCACAGTATGTCCATTACAAGTGGGTATTTTTGACACATAGCCGCTCAGATTGTTATTGTAAGTGTCCATAGTGTCTCTTTACCTTTCACTTGATCTGGTCTGTTTGTTATAAGGCTCGTTAAGCAGAAGTCTTGTTCTGAAATATCACGAGATGTCACTTGTTGCTAGAAAACAACAGTACAGAAACGTCTGTGAGTTCATGAGAGAGTATAGTTATCAGAGTAGTTTACAGTACACGTAGTTTAGTGTTATCTAAAAGGTAATCAGTGTCGTGGAGGATTATTTACCTGATTTCAGTGATGTCGATGAGGCTTTGGATTTGACTGCCGCCTGTTCTTATGTGAGTAGAGTATACACATAGAAGAGTGGATGAGTGGACGTCCTGCAGAGCTATACGTGAAGTAGGGCTGGGCGATATGACCAAAATCTCATATCACGATATAGTTCATTTCATATCCCGATAACGATACATATCCCGATATAGCATATTGTAATCCAATGAATAAAAAGTCGCCCCCCAAAAGATGGACAGACTCCAAATGACGAAAAATATTGCCGTAAAAAGGGTAATTTGCGTCACAACGATATAAACGATAGACATTTTTTTCTCATCACATGATATATATCGTCATATTGCACAGCCCTAACATGAAGTAGGGAAACCATGGAGTTCCTTGAGTTGCTGCGACGCTGTGTCTAGTACTCCATTGACACATCTCAAAGTGCTTTCCATTTAGAGGTGGTGATATTTTAATGTTTTGTGCTGTATATGTCCTGCCTTTTATTTTTGTACATGATACACATGCCTCGTTGTTACTGCTAGCCCACTGCCAACCCTCCTGGTTAGCTAATGTTAGCCTTGGCCACTCTGCCCTGCGCACCACCCGTGTCGGGTGGGAGCCAGCTAGGCACAGGCTCCCAGGAAGTGTGCCGGACTTAAGCAAATCTTAAGCCAGTTTTTGTAGTGGCCAAACAGTGGTACTGCATTTTCCGGGGTCTTTCACATGACACCCAAAAAGACTTTTTCCCATTGACTTACGCTGGGAAAGAGACGTCTGTAACTCAGTGGATTCATTTTTTTGAGCGTCACATCCCCTTTGAAATGACTCAGGATTTGATCAGTTTGATAGCATTTGGAATGTCTAGAAGAGACGCAAGATTAAATCATTTTATTTTCATTCAAGTTAGTGAAGTGCTAAACCTGAATCGGCTGGCGAAAGTTGGCTGCTCCCCTCCGCTTGTGAATCCACGAATCCTAGGATGGTGAAGTAATGTCTCATCTTTGTCTGCCTCTGACTGGCTTACCCTGACATTCTTATCCTAACCTTAACCCATACCAATCTTCTTGCCTCAACCGAACCAATCCAACCAACAAAGGCAATGAGTTCTTGCCAGCCATAGGGAGAGTAGGGCGAATCAAACCTTCATCATCCTGGGATTCGCAAATTTGCGCCCCACTCGGCAGTGCTCAGTAGCGGTAAGTCTCTACTGCACCAGCTCCAGGCAGTTCACCACCCTCCACCCCTATGTTTTCAAACATTATGCTAAGCTAAGCTAACCAGCTGCTGGTTCCAGCTTTGTACTAGTGTGCAGACATGACAGTGGCATCAATCAGCTCATCTAAATCTTGGCTTAAAAGAAAATAATGCCGAACAAATTCTTCAAGCTGTAGACAAACAAATGTTAAAAAAATGTTTATAGGTGGTGCAACAGTTTATCCATCCTCCCATTACTTCTGTACAGTGTCTTCACTGGTTGCTTAGCAACTTCATTCAGCACGTTTACATGCACTTAAAGTAACCAGGTTACTGTCGCTTTCATTAGTACACTGGTCATGTGAATGACAAACCTGAGTTTCTGTAATTGGTGTTAGAGAAACCTTATTTCACCTTCTACAGTAGATGTGTCTCCTGCAGGATTCCCACAGGTCCATATTAATGAATGTGAGGGGAATAAATCAAGGCCTTTTAAAGTTTTTGAAAATAGAGAGAAGACGTAACAGACAATGGGTCATTAAAAGTGCTTGAATTAATGAGAAGTGTGCAAGACTAGAAAGTCAAGTTCTCTTGAAATAGTCTGCCATCACTGTAACACAACACAGTGTCTCTTTGTTTTAAGTGTTGTCTTAAAGCTTCTGTAAAACCTGCTAGTTCTCATTATAAAAACTCTGTGTTGTGAAAGTATTAATCTTGATCCATGTCTCAAACCGTGTTGGGCCCTTGAATTTCAAGGAACCCGGCCTGGAAAGTCCTTGAAAAATCATTGAATTGGATGTTTATGAAGGTGTGGGTACCCTCCTCCTGGAAAATGCCCATTCCTTGGCCATGTATACACAGCACCAGGTTTCATACCAGCTTTTTATTGTGCGCATGTGCCCTGACGAAATCTGGGTCAGACAGGGAAAGTATTTCCATAGCAGCAGGGCAGCAGAATGAAAGAAGAGATCATTACTTGTAGCCATACATCATTGCATTTGAAATTAATTCCATATGAAGGCAAACATGAACAGAAACAGAGTCTAAATAAGTCATTTTGCACCACTGAAAGTTTGTTTGCTTGTGCTGTAAGAACCAGGAAACAGCATTGTGTAACCAGCACAGTTAAAACAGCTACAGTAAAACAAGTTATGCCTCCAAGTTAGGGTTTGGGGCTTGTTTTTGGTTGTATAAATCAAACTAACGTGACTTGGTTTGACTTATTGCTTATACAGCATGTCTGTGAGTTGTTGTAAGGACGCTGCCTCAGGCTTTGGTTGCTACTCCAGTGTCTTTACAGGCTACACGCCAGGTTTTTGAGGTCTTTGTAAAGACCACAAATAATGACAAGAATGTAGACAACTTCACAGCTTGGTGTCAGTCCTCAGTGCCCTCCTAAAACAACACATCCCTTCATTTTCCAGTTCATTTTCAGTATTTGGCACTTGTCAGCCGACAGTGTAAGTGTACAACATGTGTCATCCACCTGTAGGAGGATATTATGCTTCCTATTAGCTCTCTGAATCCCTCTGTCACCAGGCTATCATGTTGCAGATGATATGCACAACAGTGTTTTTTGTACTGCTCACTTCCCTCAAGTGTTAAATCAGGGTTATAACGTTACAGATTCAGATTAGTGTAGCCGCTGCCTGATTAGTCATTGACTTACAATGCGAAGCACTCTCATCACCATGTTAACTTTGTCACAGAGGCCTTTGACATTCCTCGTCTGGATTCCTTGAAGGTTTTAATGGCAGGACCGAACATTTTCTATGGCTTTTATTTTCACTTGCTCTATCAAGTCATCAAGTGGTAGCGTTCAGTCCCAAATTGCTTTGAATCTTGAGTGTGCTGTTGATGGGCACATTGTGCATTAAAAAAAAAGCATGGTGGAAATTGCTCACAGCTGATTATACAGTGGGGGAAAAGAGGGGGGTGGTTTGACACTTGTAAAACCAGAAAGCTGCATAATTACTGTAATTCCCCGAAAGCTATTTTTCCAAACTATTTAATTTCTGTACAGTCACTGTATACCCTTAACTGTGAGTCTTACATTTGATATTGGCAACAGCTGTCTGAGGTCCATCCAAGTTCAAATTATGTCCTCACAGGGAAACTTTGTCATGATCAGTTTTGTCAAATAAGAAAAACAGTTTCAGTCCATTCATCTTATGTCAGTCTTTTTTCTTTTTTTTTTTCAGCGAAATACATTTAGTGGACTAAAAAGCAACTGATTATATCATTGAGGTAAGTTACCAGAAATCTAAGTTGTATTTAGAATATTGATGATTTATGTAATAAAAAAATCTATACGATATGATTTTGCCACACAAAAATATTGCAACGCTATGCTGTATCGATTTCTTTCATGCTTGGCACACTGGAAAAGTTTCAGTAGGTTGCAATCTGCAGCCTCACCACTAGATGCCACTAGATCCTACACACTAGACCTTTAAGAAATAATGGTACAGTGGGATTTATATGGCTCAGTTAGACTTTCCTCAGTTTGAAAAACAGAATTTTAAAAAGTAAAAAGGAGAATTGTGAAAGTTTTCGAAAAGATATGTAAACCTCAAATTAAGGCAAACAAATTGATTTCCTGATATTGGATCTAATTAAATAATAATAAAAGACATTAAAATCAAGTAGGTGGACATGATTACACAGAAAACGTTTTAGCAGCTGGAGGCGGCTTTTTGTAATTGTTTTTAATGAGAATGAAGTTTTTTGCTCACTGTTTTTACATTGCTATGCACTTCGTGTCTCTGCGCTCTGGGCATCTGGCGCTTTTGCTGGAGCGCTCTGAACTCCTCAAGTTGAAAAAAACTTCAACTCACAGCAGAAAAACGCCCCACGTCATCTCTTTTTTTCGTCATTTTTTTCCCATTGTCCAATCACATGATTTGAGAACAAAAGAAAATTAATTATCATTTCAAAATCACAAGGCTGTGCAAAAGAATTATTGAAAAACTAAGCTGAAAATAAATAAATATTATGACATTTTTGTTATGGATAGAAGTGCCCTCTCAATGAGGCTTCAGAAAATTGAATTTGAGGAAATTTGGAAGAAGTGGAAAATGTATATTACCTTGAAACACCCTCTCCTGTTATTTAAGGTTTGTTTATTTAACTCTTAAATATTTTTATTTTTATTTATTTAGCTTTGATGAAAAAGACCCCATGGTTTTTGTTGGTCTTATATTATTACATAATTTACAGTCGTTACATGTTAAAAGAAAAATGAAAAAATGACTGAGACTGTTATTGTTAAGTGAAACCAAATGCAGAAAATAATGGGGAAAAAAGTACATTAATAAATAAATAAATAAATGTTAAATATAAATATAATTAATTATAATTAATTTTAGCTAAACTTAGCTAGGGCTGTAACAAGTGATTTGTAAATGATTGATTAATCTGTTAATTGTTTTATGATTAATTATGTAACATATAAAATTTAGGAGAGCTTTTAAAGCTACACATCACATCTTCCAAAAGTCTAGGATTATGTTTTTAAAGTGCTTGTTTTTTTCTCACCAACAGCCCCAAACTCCATGACTTGGAATACATAATATAAAACAGATAGTCGCAGTAAATTCTGACATTTAAGACATTTAAAACCGCATATTTTTGCTTTTCTTTTTTTTTGACAAATTATCAGTTAATTATCTAAAGTGTCTCTAGTCTTTCTCAGCGCTAACATGAATCAATCATCTTAAAGTAAGTCAGAATGAAATCATGATGATGACAACTTCTCAGAAGATTTAAAACTTATTTTCATGGAACAAAACTCCAGTGGCATCATGTGGCTTTAAATCACCTGAAACTAAAGCTGGAGGTGTAGTATTGCCCTGTGACTGAACCTTGACCCCAGGTAACCCCTCCCACCTGTCAACTGTTGAATCACTCAGAGCCACATGAGTCCTCCCTCTCTCCTCCCCTCTCTCCGCTCTCCTGTGCATGTCTTGACATGCCGAGTAACACCGAGGGGAGGGAGGGGACAAAAAAAAAACCCAAACAGGAAAAACCGGAGAGCATGAGAGACAGATAGACAGAGAGATGGAGAGAGGGAGGTGTGAAGTATGAACGGAGGGTTGCAGAGAGAGATAAGGGCGTGAGAAAGGAAAGGGGAATTTCATGCTAAAGCTGCAGTTTGGGAACGATGCTTGAAATCTTGTAGAGAAGCGGGACAGAAACTGAGACTGGAGCTGTAATTGGAAGACGGAGGACAGCTCAGTCATGGGAGGGGTGAGATACTGTGTCATTATATCTGTGAAAAACATGCTGTCAGTTCCTCTCTTGACTCAATCCTTTCCCCTCTTTCTGGTTTCTGATTTCTGAACAGCTCCACAATCTCCAGGAGAGGCGTGATGAACGGCGGTAACCATGGATCCTCGTCTTCGCTTTGGCGTTTCGAGCCGTGCAGCAAGATGATCACGAGAATTCTGAATGAAGAAAACAAAGAGGTAAACCATTAGCTGACCTAACCTCTCTCTGACTCCTCGACCTGTCAGTCTCACACCTCCAGACCTGCAGGGGAAGCACAGCCGCTGATAATCACCTGATGCAACACTTTCAGGAACTGTCAGCGAGAGGAAATACTTGGCTGTCACAAACCAGAGGTGTCACCAGCTGCAGTGCAACTTAAAAAAGTCAGACTGCAATTACTGGAGGAGCATGGGACGTGGAGTTCAAAGCAGTGAGTTGTCTCCTGGAAGTCAGACCCCCAGGCTCAAATGAGTAGCAGTGGATTCGGCAGCAGCTCCAGCTTGCTCCAGGGCCGGCGTTTCTACTGCCGGGAATGGGCCCTGGACAAGCTGCGGCGCTGCCTGGACACCCGCTCCGTGCCAGGGCAGCCACCCGGTTTGCTGGTGACTGGGGGCCCCGGCGCTGGGAAGACAGCGTTGTGCACTGAGGTGGTGTGGCCCACCTCGAAGGCAGGGCTGGCAGTCGGGCTGGCACCGCGCTGCCTGGCTTCTCACTTCTGCCAGCGGGAGGATCAGAGGAGTACGGTGCTGTGGAGGTTCGTCCTGGGCCTGGTGGAGCAGCTGAGGGCCTCTCCTCTCCTGCCACCTCAGTATGAGGAGACCCTTAACAGCCCGTCTGTGTCCTCTGCTCTGGAGCCTCTCACCTGTCAAAGAGACCCTGACGACACCTTCAAGAGGTTTGTATCTCAGTTTTACTTTAGAAATGCTCTGCGTTTTTGATGCTTGATCTAAAAAGGGTTACTCTTTTTTTGATTTGAGGGAAATCACACAGTTGCCAAATGAGAGGGAGAGAAAACGTAACGATATGTAACAAGCCCGAAACCCATCCAGGCGTTGGGCATGTGCGTGCATGTTCAAGAGTGTGCCTCATTCCCAGCTCAGCACGGCACAATTTATGTGCGGTATCACATAAATGGTGATTATTGTTGATGAAAGCCGGAGCAGCTGAACGCAGTTACATCTGATACGTGTCAAAACCCCAACAAGTGGTTTACTGGTGAGAACAACAAGGTGAAAACCTGCACCACAAGTTCCTTTTGTTTAAATCATCAGTTTCAATGTTTTGATAGAGGTGACAAAAATGCTCGATGTTCGCAGTCGTTGTAGACGTGATGGCCTCGGTCGTGGGAGCGTAATCTGGTCTATTGTCAACCAGACAAGCTTCAATCAGAGATCACACGAGACACATTAATGACCCAGTTTTGGTTTTGTAACAGAAGCTTGCTTGATTATCTAAATGCGACACAACATGGATGAATTTGATTTCTACCCTGTTGCTTTACTTCTATGATGTATTTAAACTCAATATCACAAGGAGAATATTTGTTCACTACCAGTAGAGTTAGGTAACATGACACCTTACTGTTTACACCAGGGTGGTATCTTCTGATAATCTCTGTGTAATCTGTCAGGTCAGTGTGAGCAGTGGTGCAAAACCATTAGCAGGACTGCTGTGAGACAATACAGCACTCTTCTGTTCCAGTGGCGATTGCTCTAAGACTGCAAGGGAAGCTCAGCTTTCCCTAAAATGTCAAAAAATAAGTGTTCAAATATGTACTGTTGTGTTTACATTTCATTGACTACATAGGCGCTAGAAGGCGTTCAACTTTTGTTCAGAATCAGCTACTTATCACAAGTCACTGACGCGACTTTGTTCTCATTCATTCCCGTAGCGTCACAGTGCATTAAACAGTGGAAGCTCAGCGTCCAAAGACTTCAATAGGGAAGCATAGAGTGGGTTGTTCCACTGCAGCGAAACTAGACAGTCATTGGATAAATGCTTGGTTTTGTCCCACCCATCGGACACTCAGCGTCTCTGGGGGTCTATGGGGCAGTGGGCTGGCCTCGGCTGGCCTAGAAGCTGGGCATCTGCATGATAATTAGATGATCTGTCTGAGGCTGAATCCCTTTTTGATTGACAGAAAAATGAGCGAATCAGCGATCTTGAAATATAAACCACCACCGGAGCATTTTTCAAGTTTCATTCCGTTGTTCCGAGTTGATCTGGAGACTTTTCCAATCCTCTAAGTGACTTTTTCTTTGTTAAAAACGACTAGGGACAAATCTAACATCTTTTTCTGGTGTTATTGGAGACTGTACTCGTGTTTGAAGACTCTGACTTCTGTCGCTCTGCAGTTACTGTCCCCAACAAGCAGCGGGTGCTGCTGTGAGCAACTCAACCATCCCAAAGCACTCACAGGCGGTCACACTAGCCTCGCGCAGCAGCCCCAGAGGGTAGAATTTACGAATAAATAAACGGACACATTTTATGATGTAGGCCGAAAATGAGCTTCCCCTCCTTGAAAAACCAGCAGCCGCCACTGTTCTGTTCCTATGATCTTTGCATCAAAGTGTTGTAATACATTGATTTTTCTGTGCCATGGTGCAGTGGTTAGCATTGTCGCCTCACAGCAAGAGGGTTTCTGGTTCGAATCCTGGGTGGAGTAGCCCCTCTCCGGGAGTTTGCATGTTCTCCCTGTGTCAGCGTGGGTTTCCTCCAGGTGCTCCAGCTTCCTCCCACAGTCCAAAGACATGCAGGTTAATTGGTGACTCTAAATTGTCTGTAGGTGTGAATGTGAGTGTGAATGGTTGTCTGTCTCTCCTGTGATAGTCTGGTGACCTGTCCAGGGTGTACCCTGCCTCTTGCCGAACGTCAGCTGGGATAGGCTCCAGCTCCCCTGTGACCCCCAACAGGATAAGCAGTTACGGAAAATGAATGAGTGAATCTAATTGTACATTCAAACCAACAGCAACCAGAGCTTCCAAAACGGCGGAAGTCATTCGTTTTCAATGAGAGTCCGGCGACTTGGGCGACCTGGTCGTCAGCCACGAGTCTTGGGCGACCACAGTGACCGGAGCGGTCTGGAGGGGAGATAAAACTCATTTAACTTTATGGTAATGAGCTCTGACGTGGTTCTGCGACAACCAATCGGAATGCTGACATGCTTCAATGAAGCGGGTCCCAGAGAACAAGCCACGTAACTTCGGTTCCTACAGCACACTTGTTCCGACGATGGATATCAAGAAGTTTATTACTTGCGTTCGCGCACACTCAGTCCTTTATAATGTTGGTCTTGCAGCACAAGACGGCAGCAGCACACATCACAGCAACAATATCATCTTCCATGTTGAGTCGATACGATTTTGGGGGGTAAGCATAACTTTCTGTAGGCCAACTATGAGCTTTTTGACTGGACAACAGCAAGCAGCAACTACGCTGCTTTCAAGCCAGTAGTCCGCTTTGCTGCTCCTTTAAACCGAGCGACTAGAGCGACCAAAGCTGCCACAAATATTTGACAGTCGTGCTTCTTGAGTGTCCGCCAGAGACTTTGCCTCTTTGGAAGCTTCTGGTTTGAACGTACAGTAAGAGCCAATATCTACATATGAGTGCAGATACATTCTTAAAAAACTAATACAAAGCTAACTTTTCTTCAGATGATAGATGCATTTTGGCCCATGCATTCCACTTCTCCACAAACTCCTGTAAGCATGCAACCTCCGGAGCAGGTTAACTTCAGAGTATCAGATCACAACCTGTCAGATCACTGAAGAGAAAAGTATCAATGGACAAAAGTCTGGAGTGACAGGTTTAAAAAAAGAGGAGCCTATATGTTGTTATAGGTCAGTAGATTCACTTCATTGCTCCGGGCTTTCTGTGTCCACTGGTTTTAAAACAGAGCTTCTAACAAAGAGAGAGATCATTTACAACACTTAACACATGACACGTCTTTTAACTCCTGCGAAGTGTATTTCAGTCCTCAGTGATAGCTGACAGTGTTGCTGTTTTTACACCCTGATTTCATCACCGCAGCTCAAAATAACACGAGACACCTGTGTTGTGAGAACTAGGAAAGAGCAAATATCATAATTTATTAGAAAAACATATTGCACACACTGTTAATTGGCTCTGACTTATATAAATGCAACATCTCTGTCAGTCATTAACTACTTTTACACTCTTTTTCTCAGCAGCAGAAACAGTCTGGTGTCACTTTAACATGTAAGGTGACATATTCAGAGGAGTTTCATCATCATCCAACTAAACAGCAAAAGATACTCCATATAATGTCTTGTATAATAATACCTACATGTTTTTTTAAGTCTTGGTCTATGTTCAATATTTGGAAATTATTTCCAGTGTTCCTACATCTTTCGTTATAAGATTACACTGCACGCTTTTTACTTTTTCCATAGACCAAACATTCTCGCAGGTAATTACTGTTACTGCTTCATCTCATGTGATATGAAGCAGCCTACTTCATTCATTCACTTGTAATTAACATCCCAACCTCTTTCACATGAACACGCTCGTGACTGGATAAGAAACACCCAGAGATGACTGAGCAAAATGAGAACCAGCTTTGTAGTACCGGTTACCTACCTACCGGTTACCTACCTCAGAAGTGTCACTTGGTGGTGGTTGTGACGCGTCTTCATCAGCTGATCCGTCAATCAGCTGATATTAGGGAGGCATGACCGTCCTCTCCGTTTTGACAGGACGATCACGCCACCTGCTGTCTGTCTGCCGCCACCTCCCCAGGACGCTGCTCCAGGTGTGGGAGAGCATGTTTGCCCCCTCGTCCCTGTTCATCGTCCCTGGGCCCTGCTTCCTTATTTCGATAGCCTCCCTGATACAGCGCCGGTATTTGTTGTCCTCGGTGTGTATGACTCTGGCCTTGTCCCAGTCCATAAGATGGTTTTCTCTGGCAGGACGGTCACGCCTTCCTAATCTGTCAATCAGCTGATAAAGACGAGTCACAACCACCACCAAGTGACACTTCTGAGGAAGGCGGAAGTTTCCGCCGAAACATGTCAATGTATGTAACATCCTAACACATGTCTGTATGTAGACACGCTTGCCAGTGAAAGTCAAAGTCAAAGTCAAAGCCGACCACAGATTCACTCTGGTTTGGTGTTTCACCTCGCTATATTTGCATTTTTTTTGTTTTTTGGCTGATGTGACGCTCAGTGGGAGGCTGCGCCAAAGCCGAGGAGCAAGAACTGAAAAGGCTCGACCACCCTTTGTCTTTAACTTGGACTCTGGAACAGTTAGATGACCCAGACTAGCAGACCTGGGGGTCCTGGTTTGGAGGATACAGTGTGAGAAGCTCAGTTATATACTCCGGTGCCAGATCGTTGAGAGCCTTGTATGTGATTAAAATAACTTTGATGATCAAGGATCGTTTGGTTTTGGTCAAAGTCTAGCTGCTGAATTTAGAACGATTTGGAGCTGATGTGTAGCTTGATTACTTCGGCAGGTGAACAGTGCATTACAGTTATCAAGGATATAAGAGCATGTATGATTTTTCTGTCTTATTAAAAGACAGAAGTGACCTACATTTGGAGATATTCCTCAGCTGGTGGAAACAAGACTGGACTACATTCCTTACATATTGCTCCAGGGTCAAATTACTCTGCAGAATAACACCTAGATTTTTTACACCTGATTTTATGTTTGGAGCAAGGGGCTGACGAGTGGCTGAATTTTAAATTTTAAAGCCACAACCTGACCTGATTGCTTTGTGGGTACACGCCCATAAACACCCAAAACACAGAAACCAGGAAAATACAGGCAGAGTCTCTGCAGAAAATACACCGCCACACACTTCTGGTAAATCAGAGGTGATGATTGAGAGGGATTACTTATGTCCTGCATACTGTATCTTTAGGTTTGCCT